TGGTCCGAGGTCGGTACTAAATATCGTACCCACTTATTTCTATGGCCCATTTGGCCAACCGGCTCGAGAGTTCGGGCTTATGCATAACGTTCCTCAATGGGTAAGTAGTTGCGACACATATGGGGTGACACTGGAAGTATAGTTTTAGCTTCCTAGAGGTGCTTAGCAAAACGAGCGCTAGTTTTTCTAGGTGAGGGTACCTAGTTTTGGCCTCACCTAAGGTCCTACTAACATAGTAAATTGGAAATTGCTTACCTTGCTCTTCTCGAACTAGGACTCCACTTACCGCTATCTCTGAGACCGCTATGTATAAGTACAATTGTTCATTTATCTTTGGTGTGTGAAGCAGCGGCAGGCTCGATAAGTACCTCTTGAGTTCCTTCAAAGCTCGTTGGCATTTCGGGGTCCATGAGAAGTTATTCTTCTTCTTCAATAGTGTGAAGAATCGGTGGCTCTTGTCGGATGACCTAGAAATAAATCGCCCTAGGGCGGCTATGCGCCCTGTTAACCTTTGCAAGACCTTTCCGTTATCCACAACCATGATATCTTCGATGGCTTTGATCTTATTAGGATTGAAGGGTCTCGATTTCCCGATTAGATACCATGAATCCGAGGAATTTACCCAACCCAACTCTAAACGCACATTTTTCCGGGTTCTGCTTCATATTGTATTACTTCAATATGCTGAAGGTTTCCTGCAAATGTTTTAAATGGTCATCTACTCGTAGGGACTTAACTAACATGCCGTCAATGTAAACTTCCATAGATTTTTCTAGTTGTTCCTCGAACATCTGATTTACTAGGCGTTGGTATGTGACGCCGATATTTTTTAATCCAAACGGCATTATGATATAATAGTATGTGCCATATTTAGTGATGAATGAAGTTTTTTCCTGATCACCCAGGTCCATCCGTATTTGGTTGTACCCGGAATAGGCATTGAGAAAACTGAGGATCTCATGGCCGGCTGTGGCATCAATCATACGATCGATGTTGGGAAAAGAAAAAGAGTCTTTGGGACATGCCTTATTCAAATCTTTGTAATCTACACACATTCTTAGTTTATTCCTTTTTTAGGGACTACCACTACGTTTGCTAACCAATACGGGTATTCAACCTCCCAAATAAACCCTATTTTAAGGAGTTTAGATACCTCGTCCTTGATGAAAGCATGCTTGATCTCAGACCGGGGTCTCCTCTTCTGTTTGACCGGGTGGAACTCCGGGTTCAGGCTTAGCCTGTGAGTGGTTATCTCCGGCGGGATCCCTATAATGTGAAGGTGGGATCAAGAGAAACAATCTTCGTTAGTTATAAGAAAGTGAATAAGTTTTTCCCTGAGCTTGGAGCTTAACCCCGTGCCTAGGTATACCTTTCGATCGGGCAAGCATTCTCGCAATATGACTTGTTCCAGCTCCTCAACCATCGATTTAGTGGCGTCAGAATCATCGGGGGCTATAAAAGATCTGGAAACCCCATAATCATCATCCTCGCCTTCCTTTTGTTTGTCCGAATCTGCCGAGGATGGTATCAGTGATTGCTATTTGGCCCTGTTTCTAACCATCTGGTTTGGATCCTTCGATGTTGAGACTGTAGATGCCGGTATCACCTCCTAGGCCGCGAATATTTCCTTTGCAGCTGGTTGTTCACCATAAATTATTTTGACTCCGCCAGGTGTTGGGGATTTCAGTGCCTGGTGCAGTGTTGAGGGCACCGCCCTCATGTTGTGGATCCATGTCCTTCCGAATAAAGCATTGTACCTCATGTCTCCTTCTATCACATAAAATTTAGTTTCCTGGATAGTCCCGGCGGTGTTTACTGATAACGTTATTTTGCCCTTAGTGGTATCACATGCCATGTTAAATCTGTTAAGAACTCGAACTGCAGGCACGATTTGGTTTTGTAGACCGAGCTGCTCCACGACCCTCGATCGAATGATGTTGGATGAGCTACCTGGATCAATTAACACACGTTTAACCCAAATTTTATTTACGAGTACAGATATTACCAGTGCATCGTTGTGGGGTTGTACGATCCCTTCCGCATCCTCGTCGCTGAAAGATAAAGTTCCTTCTGGTATGTAGTCTCAAGTTCGTTTCTCCCTAGTATTGGATACTTTGGGGACATCAACCCCACCGATGATCATGTTAATGACGTGCTGAGGTTCTTCTTGTTCAGCTTGTTTGTTAGAATCCCTATTCCTGAAATGATTCTTGGCTCGACCGCTCAAGAATTCTCGAAGGTGCCCATTGTTGAATAGTCGGGCTACTTCCTCTCTCAGATGTCGACAATCTTCCGTTCTGTGACCGTGAGTGCCATGATATTTGCAGATCTGGTTAGGATCCCTTTGGGTTGGATCGTATTGTAGGGACCGAGGCCATTTGGTATCTTTGATGCGCTCGATAGCTGATACAATGGCGGCATCATCGACATTAAAGTTGCATTCCAATAGCCGTGATGCTTCTTTAGGCCCGACGGACCTGTCGAAGCCATTTTTGGTCATGAGTCCCCGGTTCCTTTGACCTCGGTCATTTCTCCTTTCGTTTCTCATGGAGTTCCGCCCGGATCCACTGCTTCTTCGATCTCTATTATATGGCTGGTACCGATCCCTGTTTGGCCTCGGTTTACGATCGATGTCTCTCTTGACTCTGTCGAGGGTTCTGGCGGGATAGACAGACCCCGAAGGGATCCCGCGTTGATCATCTTAGACTCTGATTTTCGATTGATACCGGTTATGCATGTCGGCCCATGTAACGGCCAGGTATTCTATCAGGTTCTGCTTTAGCAGCTGTGAAGCCACTGAGCTTCGAATATTGAGTCCCTGAGTGAAAGCTTGAACAGCCCAATACTCAGCGACTGGCGGCAGATCCATTTGTTCCATTTGAAACCGGGACACGAATTCCTTGAGCATCTTGTTATCTCTTTGTTTGACTTTGAAAAGATCCGATTTCCTGGTCTCGACCTTGATGGCACCAACATGTGCTTTTATGAAAGAGTCTGCAAGTATATCAAATGAGTCAATGGAATTAGGAGGTAAGTTGTGATACCATATCATAGCTCCCTTTGACAGTGTATCCCTAAATTTTTTCAGCAAAACAGACTCGATCTCGTCGTCCTCCAAGTCATTCCCTTTGATGGCACATATATAAGAGGTCATATGCTCTTTTGGGTCGGTTGTTCCGTTATACTTAGGTATTTCTGGCATACAAAACTTTTTGGTGATCGGCTTCGGAGCCGCGCTTGGAGGAAAAGGTTTTTGCATGAACTTCTTGGAATCCAGTCCTTTCAATATGGGAGGTGCTCGTGGGATTTGGTCTACCCTGGAGTTGTAGGTCTCCACCTTTTGTCGTTAACTTCGTTTTTCTTCTCCCCCGATTCTATCCGCTTTGTCATCTTCTCGAACATCTTTATAATCTCGGGTTTAGCCCCCAATTCATGTTCATTTGACCTTTCTATGACCGGTTCATCCCTGCGGGTGACTTCCCGGGGCGAATCAGGCTCAACCCTACTTGGTGCACGACTTTGATTCTGTAATTGAGCTATCTCCGCCTGTTGAGCCTGCAACATTTCGAAGATCACCCGTAGATTGATCCCGTCTCCTTCAACATTTTGTTTGTTTCGAGTTGCCGATCGGGTTCCACCACGAACGCTATTTTGGGGGGTCGGTAGGCAAGTTTGCATGGATAGCCACATGTGAATTAGCGTCAATCGGGTCTGCGATCAGAATTCCAATGGGATCAGCAGGTGGTACCTCATTTCCGGGCGCTATGTTGTTATTTTCACCTTGATGACCAAACTCGTTGTCAACATGCAGGGGTGCTGATTGAGAGTTCGACATTTTGTATTTTAGTCTGGAATCAAAGACACTTCAACGAGAAAGTGTAAAGTAGTATGTGTTACGAAGATTTGTATCAAATAACCACTATTATCCTTAGCCCCACAGTGGACGCCAAACTGTTTACCCTCAAAATCGGATAACAATTGAATTTGTACGTGGTTTTAAGGATACGTGATCTATCTTGATACAAAATGAGAAATCAGATTAATATTGAAATAAACGATGAAAAAGTTAATGCAAACCACACAAGTTGAACAATCTTAGCCTTGAAGATTAGTCATCCTCGAGTCAGAAATGCTTTTATCGATGCCGGAACAGAATGACTAGATAATGAAAACTAGAAATAATAATATATTGCTTTGTGATGCGTGTTATAGTGTGTTAAATGAATTATCATAACCCCCTTTATATAGTAGAGGAGTCCTACTCTAGGTACATTTCTATAAAAGGTAAAAATCTCTTGATTTGTTGATTGCCGGTTCCTTGCTGATACGTGCCGAGATTCTCGCTGTAATATCCGACTGGTCGCGGATATTTCGGTCTTCTGTTAGTTATCTCCAAGCTTGTTCGAGGCTAAGGTCGACACCGGACTTAATGTTCCACGAAGACATGCTTTCCGACCTCGGGTTCTAGCTCGACGGGACTCGAGGTCGATCTTCAGTTCTTGGTCGCCACGTTCCAAGCCTAATCCATCAAGTTGTAGTTGAGCTCGACTTCGACCGTATACAAAGTGAAAAATAACTAGAAGAATCTGATGATCAAACGTTGAAAAGAAGAACTCTCAGCGAATTTATAAAGGACTCAAAACAAAAGTGGTAAAATAAAAAGGATAATTTTGTAGTAATTCTTGGGTTGTTGCCCCCAATCTAGCTATTTTTTTATATTTGAACTATGCATTTCCCTTGGAACAATTATATCTTTTATTTGAATTATTATATGAAAATTGAAGATTGCTATGATTTTAAAATTTGTATTGTCATAATATGTAAGTTTGACAGAAAATAGTCGTGCTATTTAACGTAGCCTGATTATGAAATAAGTTTCTTTTAAAATTTATGTTCTAGATAGTAGTTTGGCACCAACTATAATATGATATACATACTCTACTGTTTAGCGATGTTCTTACTAGTCTATAACTAGTCTATAATATAGATAAACGGCTCTGTGACGACACGTGTTTCAAGTATTTGAAATTGAACTTTACGAACCGTGCTGTGTTTCACGCTTTCACCACAAAGCCCAAAACCCAAACGTCTTCATTCCACTCTCTCTTCTCTGTCTCTAAAACCCTAGTCACTGAAGACCACTGAGTTCGTCAAAGTATCTGAATTTTAGCCAAATTTAGGTTCGATTTTCATTCCGATCCTTTAATTTTTTCTTAAGTATCTGTAAATTTCGCTTATTCTTTTTCTTAGGACTTCCAGTTTTTTTTCCTTAAAAATTTCACATATGTTTTTGTTATGACTAAACATATAGCCGATCGCAACTTGATTGGGACTGAGGCATTGTTGTTATTGTTGTTATGTTGCTGAATTTTTTCTACTAAGTAAGAGTAGAAAGCGGAATAATTGTTGCAATAGTTGAGCTTTTTAAATATAGCCTGTATAAGGGTTGCTGTAGGTTGATACTCGGTCGAAGAATAGTCAAACTGTGTTGAATCATCTGAATAGAGACGAATAGAGCGGAATGGATGCACTGGATTTATATAGCCAACCCACTAGTTTGGGATTTAGGGAGTTGATATTAAGTTGTGGGTTTTGCCAAATTGATGAGTTTTTGCTTAAGCATTTCGACTTTAAGTGATGATTCTTTGTGTAAGACTCATATTTGGAATTTGACTGAGCTATGATTAAGCTGGATAACTTTTTAAGCTCAAAGTTCTAAACAAAAAGCTATTTGATTTAGTTGCACTGTGCGATCAACTTTGATCTTTGTGCTTTACTTTCCGTCAGTTGCAGCGCAAGAATTTAACTTCCAATTTGCTAAAATACTTGAAAGCATACAAACTTGCAAGTCCGTCCATTGCGTGCCCCGGTTTATGTTAAAGGTCCACCTTAAGAGTTTATGCAGAAGTTCATTTAGTAAACTTAAGATACTTGAATTACTACTAGTTCTTGTTGTACCTTGGGTTTTGTGATAACAGATTATGATGAAAATAAACCCTAGCATAACTGCATAACTTTCAAATTTATCTGTCTTTCCCTGTTCTAGTTATATAATTTCACTTGACATCTTCTTAGGAATCTATACTGTCGAAGCTAACCCCTGGAGAGCAGAACTGAGCATAGCATGAGCACACGAGATAGAGGGTCACAGCCAGTTAGGCGTACGAAGTTCCGATCTCGAAGGAGTACTGTTGTAGATGTTGATCTAAATGTTGCACCCCCATCTGAGAACAGAGATCAGGAAGGAACGTCTGTGCCTGTTGTGTCTGGGGATGCGACACACGGACAAAGAGGTGCCTTTTTGACACCTGCAGCAATTGTTATTGAGGCACTTGATGATGATGTGATTATATCATCCCCTAGGGCGTTTGCAGAAGTATGTACTCTCCCTTACTATTCTAATTGCTTTTCTTTCGTTAAGTTTGTTTAGTGGTGAATTATGGCTGTGATTACGGCTGATGTTTCACATCAAGTCTAATTATGTGAGAGATCTTCTCCATTTTATTAGGCTAAGAACAACTCCAGAAGGAATCGAGGACGGGTTATTGTAGTTGATGTGGATTCTGGTAATTTATTCTTCTCTTAAGCCTGGTACAGCTGTAGGTAGTGTGTTGATTTTTAGCTATGGAACCTTTTTATTTGCTGGAGATAGGAATTATCTGACCAGAATAGCTTAGAGGAACCTCTCTTTTTCTTCTTTTAAAGGTTAAGTGGATATGAGATTGTATATATAGTATTCTCTTTATGGGTGGAGCAAGTGGATCTTTCATCTTTTTTTTTTCTTTTTCAAATTCAGATATTCTGGACTCTGCAAAAATCTCCTATTTCCTTGAGGATACCAGTTCAATTTACCACTTTTTGTTCATTCTAGGAGTGTCTGATCTGATTGATTGGAGAAGTTATTTAATGCTTCTTTCTGTCCAAGATAACGCAAAGCAGGATAATGTTACACGAAAAATCAGAATTTTAATGATTCTTGAAGTGACATAACTTTGCCAGTATCAACAGAATTTTCTTTAGAATGTTTTCTAATCCTTTTGTGGTTGGGAAAAGGAGGAGCATGTAGATAGCATGGTCTACATAGGGATTGAAACTTAGCTGCATCCTGTGTTTACACCAAACCAAAGAATTTAACCTTAGCAGTTAAAAGTTTTAGTGAGTAATACATATCACTTAACCATGGTTATATAATAACTTGATGGTTGTTAATTTGCTTTGTACCTGATGTATGTTTGGGCAGTTCTTTGCAATTGAAAACTTGGCTTACTTATCTCTTCCATGCCCTTTTGTGATTGGACTTGGTTGGTTCACGGCTATTGCAGAGGGCCTTTCATCTAGGGCCTCAAGTAACAGTCGCAACAGGCGTAGAAGAGTCTCTACAGATCAAGCAACAAACAATGGTGGCATTCACATAGACCTAGAAGGACATAGCTGTCAAAAGGTAATTACATGCCATGTACTACAGCTCAAATTCTTGTTTCTAATGTTATCTGTTATTTCCTTTCCAAAAGATATATTTCAATGGATCTACCACCTTGTGTTTTGAAATATTATTCTGATTAATTTCGTTATGTGTGGAAGTTTGGTTGTGACATTCTGTCTCATATCGTTTGACTTGTATGATCTGCAATTGCTTTGATAGATTAAAGTTCCAATTGTAGGTAAAGGACTTGTTGCTTTTGTGACTGGCTGACTGCACCTTACTACCTCTAAGCGTTCTTTATACAGTATACAAAAGATTTTTTATGTGTCGTAGTATCTTTGAGTTCTTTGCTGGCCTTTTGACTAGTTTCTGGCTTTTTGCTGATACTTCAAGTGTACAATACTTGGCTTGCTTAACTTGTGTTATAATGCAGAAGTCTAAATAGCTTATAGTTTTTACGAAGTGGGTTCAAGCTTCGATTTCTGTATGTCTTTTTCATCTAATTATCAAAGTCACTTTCAGAGAATTCAGTTTTATCAGTACACATGTGACCTGGTTCAAGCTGTTACTTGATCTTTATGAAAGTAAATATTTGTTTTTTGGTTTTGTTTCCCATGCCAGAATGTCAATGTAAAAAGTGCAATACCACCACAACCAAAAGAGCCCGCATTCAGCTGTCCAGTGTGCATGGGTCCGTTAGTTGAGGAGATGTCGACTAAATGTGGTCACATTTTCTGTAAGGCGTGCATAAAAGCGTCCATAGCTGCTCAGCATAAATGTCCTACATGTAGGAGAAAAATCACTATGAGAGACACCATAAGAGTGTATCTTCCAACCACAAGTTAAGTCAAAGGTTTGTGTACTGCTCCCTCAAAGCTTTTTTCTTTTCTTTTTGTTTTTTGAGGGGTGGTGTGTGTGTGTGGGTGGGNTTAGCTGGGAGTTAATGTCTGAAATTGGAAAAGAAGTATCTCAAAATTAATTCCGATCGCCATTAGATAGTAAATTGGACAGTAAAAATAATTGAAGAAGGGGATGGAATTGGTCTGGAGCATGTACTATCTGTGTGCAAAACCGGTGGGATCTTCTACATTATGTGCACAGAAGAAACATTATGAAGTGGCTATGCGTGTCACTCCGGCTTTTACCAGTTTAATTATTGGTTTTACCCTTTCTTCTTTCTTGCTTGAAGAGATAATAAAGTTCTTGTTCACTCTGAAAAGATGGTTTTATTAGTTGATCTTTTGCACGAGATTTATGTGTGAACTTCCATTCTTTAGTATAGCAGTAAAGATGAAATTCATTGTTTATAAGGAGTTTAGAATTGGGTGATTTGTGTTGCACTAATCTTGATATAGTTCTTTTTTCAAGTATAACTGATTATCTCATGATTTTTGATGGATTTTGTCTTAACCAATTAAACTATATGTAAATAGGATTTTGCTGTCTTTATTGGGTTATTCCATAAGAACTTGCTTCTGATCTTTTCCGTTTCTTCACTTTTCCCTTATTTACTCTGTGGGTTGGTTGGTTTTATTTTTTGTTTGGAGGGGGGCGGCACTGAACAAATGGAGTAGGATCTTTTTTTTCTGCTTGTGTTGTAATCTTCTCCTTACACAAGAAAGTGTTGTAATCTTCTGCTAGTTATGAGAGAATTATAATGTAGGGATGGTTTATGCAGTGAATAAAAGATAATGGAGGAATTGTTATGCAGTGAATGCCATGTAGAGGTTACCTACTTTAAGGACATCTTGGTCTTAAAGTAATTTTTAATCCCTATATTACTAATACACGTAATCCTATATTACTAATACACATAACCTTATTCCATATATTATCTCGAGTAAAATAATATATAGATTTTTGCATTACTTATGCATGTGTCGTTTAATATTTCTAACTAAACGTTGCATCGTTTAATATTTCTAACTAAACGTTGCATTAGTTATGCGGTAAATAATTTTTCTTATACGGTGAACCACATACTGCATTAGTTATGCATGAACTTATTTTTTCTAATTCCTCCAACCAAACATCCTATTATTTTTATGCTGGGATTATTTTCCTTGATCCCTCCAACCAAACCACCCCTTAAGTTTTGCAGCCTTTGCAGATAGAGCATTTCACGGCTACTATAATATGGCTAACCGCCTTCGTTTATATGACAGGATTTGGCCATCGTTTATATGACCTGTGGAGGAAGTGTATTTGTAGGGGTAGTTTCTCTATGAAGTATCTGCTTTTGAGGCTGCATTGGAGAGTGAAAGGGAAGTATGATTGAAGATACTTTTAATTCAGTTAAGTTTGATTGTCACAATCAACAACGTACTCTTTCCTGTGAGTGCCTTTAAAAGATGGTGTAATTAGTTATTGAATTTAAGTTGTATGCACTGACATTGTAAAAATCTTTTTACACTATTAGTGCTATTTACCTCGAAAGAGTCTCTGAATTAATCCACTAAAAAGATACTATGGAAATCAATAATGTCAGGTTATACTGTATTACTACAAGCTATTGGCAGGGGCGGACTCACCTTGGCAGGGGTTCAGTTGAACCCGCTTCGTTGGAAAAATTAATTATTATTACCTTGAAATTTTATCAGAAAATTATGAAACTGATAAATATTATAATATCTGAGCCCGCTTGACGTTAACATAAATTGTAGAGTAGTGGCAAATGGGTTCAAAGTAATTAAGACCCAGGGTTGCAAGTTTGAACTTCTACAAAAGCAGCGAACTAACTATGCAGAACGTATATATTATTTTGCCTATTGTTAGGGCTTGATGTTTCCTATTTTGTCTTTGACTCTTTGTTTTCTTACTTCTCTATATTATTTTTTTTCTTTATTTAAATCCAATAAAACTGATTATTATTAAACTCTTCCATTTTACTTTAAAAAAAAATTAAACCTTTCTACAAAATGAATTTTTATTCTACTCGAAATTACTTATAATCTTTTAATTTAGATTGGTTTAATTTATATTAATTTGTTAATTTGTGTTATACTCAAAATTTTAGTTTGGTGTAAATATCTTTTTCTTTAATAATTTGTATAAATTAGTTTAGTCTGTAACTCTTTTTTCCCGTGTCTTTTGTTTGTAACAACTTTGTATGTTAAATTTCTTAGAGTTATAATATGATTTTTAAGTAGGTTAAATACTTTTTGGTTTAAAGGACGAAATTTTCCTTGTTATTTTTTTTAAATTGCTCCCAACCTTTTTTATTAACAAAAAATAAATGACTTAATTTTTTTTGAAGTGATCTGATGAACAAAAAAGAGTTGTACACAAATTCTGTTTACCGCTGCACTTGACTACCGTGTTCTTTGATTGAACCTGCTTGTACAAAATCGTGAGTGCGACGCTAGCTATTGGCAATTGACCAACTCTTCATGAAACTATAGCACATTTTTTTATAGGGCAAAAAGATAAACTAACTTTTATCATATTGTGTGATTTTGAGGTTCCCTTCTTTCTACTAATGCAAAACACCTAGACATCCTTAACAAACTCAAAGGCAGATGTAGGACTAATTCTGTGAGTTCAAATAAACACGTTGCTTTTGGCTCGAACTGTATATAAATGCAAAAAGAAAGTTAAATGCATACATATAATAAGATCACTCTCATGCTCATTCTAAATCTACCAACTCTGAATTCTAAATACGTCTCTATGAATTTTGAACACGCCTTTGAACAGACTAAGCTCCTGTTTGGCCATAAAATTTTGGAGTTTTTTTTCAAATTTTGTTTTTAAATATTCGTTTGTTTATAGATTTTTACTGATCTTTGAAGAAGAATTAACTCAAATAGCCGCCCACCCAATCACTTAAACTAAAAATAGCCGATGGAGGTATAATACATGCATAATTTATGTATTATATATGTATAACTGTGTATAATCTATGTATATGGTTAGAAAAAGTAAAACCATGAATATGGCCGGCTACTTGTGTAAATTTGAATAGGAAAAAGAGTGGATCTGCAGGGTCCCAAACGAATTGGCTTATTCGAAAAAGGCCTTCTTCTTTGGAAGATCTATCTCGTGTCTGGTACTGCATGGTTCCACTCTGCAAGAACTCTTAATCATTCTCTTGAAGCTCATCGTCTTCATCATAAATGATCCGCTTGCCCCGAAATGACCTGGACCAATAGGGAAATCCCAATTCCTTGGGCCTTTCTATTCAATCAAATAGAAAGCCCCAAGGGCGCCATATGCTAGGAGCCCAAACTATATGATTCAATAAATCCTCGTGCGGTCAAGGGTGATAAGGGTAGACACTCCAAGCCTATCTAGGAGTCCTAGTTTAAGTTGTATCTTACGAGATTCTTTCCTATCTCCACAAGAGTCTTATGTACAGAGAACTCTATCTCCTCTCACCCTTCTCCTCTTGTAATTGTATATAAACTTTTCTCTTGTAATCAATATAGATAAGCCTTTTCACAATTCTTATCAACTCTTATATGGTATCAAGAGCCTAAAATAAACTCACACGAGTTGTCCTCTTTTTTTCCAGAATGGGTGAAAAAACACCACTATCTTCTTCATCAACCTCTTCCTTACCCATCATTCCAGTCAACCAGAGCAGCATTGTTCAACCCTCTCAACTCATCTCTTTCAATTTTGCCATCCAACTCTCCTTGAAACTATTAGGGAGTTCGAACTACTCCACTTGGAAATCCCAAGTCACCACACTTCTTTTTGGCTATGATCTTCATGGCTTTGTTGATGGTTCATCCACTCCTCCACTCACTCACATTCCAGATGAAAATAACAAAGAAGTTCCTAACAGCGCCTATCGCCTTTGGCTAAGGTAAGACAGTTTGGTTCGCAATGCCATCATGGCATCAGTTGATCCCACAATAGCACCTCTGATAGCACATACATCTACTGCCGGCCATGCCTGTAATATAGTTCAAACCACCTACCTATGCTAATAAATCTCATTCACGCATATTCAACCTTCGTGATACTCTTGCCAACCTAAAAAAGGACTCACGTTCAGTTGGTGAATACATGAAAGAAATCAAATTAATCGTTGATGATCTTGCCTCTAGTGGTTCCCCATTGTCGGATGAAGAACTTGTCATCAAAGTTCTAAGTGGTCTAGGTTCTGACTACAAGGAACTCTCTGCTGCTATTAGGGCTAGAGATAACCCTATTTCCTTTGAAGAACTTAACAACAAACTGCTGACACATGAAATGTTCATAAAACATTCAGAACCAAAGAGTTTCGCACCGATCATCACTGTCTAATTTCACCAAAAGTCCCACAACTCTAATTCCAAGAACAAAAATCCTACTACTTCAATCGCAGGAACATATCACAAGCCAACCCCAACCCCTACCGTAACAACACCTCTCAATATCCGACCTCTTTCAATCTCTCTTACACCAATCCCAACAACCAACAACGTATCCAATGTCAGTTATGTGATAAATATGGTCATATAGCCAAAGTCTGTCGCTCAAGATCTCATAATGCAATTGAAGCTCAAGCCAACTTTGCCAATCGTATGGCTTATGCTTCCAGCCCTTCCAACAACTGGATAGTTGATTCTGGAGCTTCTCATCACATTACCAACAGTTCTCAATCTCTACAGGCCTTTACTGAATTCCTAGGCACATATGAAATCATTGTTGGAGATGGTAAAACTATTCCTATCACACACATAGGCCACACTACTCTTTCCTCACCTCTCAATTCCTTTAAACTGCATAATATTTTGTGCTCTCCTTACATTAAGAAAAGATTGATTTCTGTTGCGGAATTTTGTCGTCAAAATCTAACCTCTATTTAATTTTTTCCTTATTCTTTTCTTGTGAAGGATTTGAACGCGAAAGCATGTCTACTGCAAGGTCAGAGTAATGGAGATCTCTACGAATGGACATCTATAGCAAGTGTTGATACCCAATTTTCCCCTCATATTTTCTAAAAATGAATATATACTTTCAACATTGCACATTTGCATCATCATTTAGTTTACAAACCTATACAAGTATTTTCTATAATTTTTCATAATTTTTAGAGCTTTTAAATTGATTACTTGAATAATTATTAATTACTCCTTCAAAGTATTTGATGATGACTTAGCTACTTAAAGTTATTATTTTCGCACCTATAATACATGTTTCAAATATTTTACTTCATTTTATGTAATTACATTAATATTGTTAAGCTATTTGCGTAATTTTGCAGTAATAGCCTATATTTGTACAGAAATGCTCTTTATTTATATTACTTGTGTCAAAATAGCATTTTTTATATTTTTATAATACAAAGTTATTATTGTTAAGAATTTCAGTGTATAAATAATATTTTTACTTATTTGTCAAGTATTTTTATAAATTATTTTCGTGTATTTAAATAATAGCCTAGCTTTAAACTAATTTTCTGAACCAAATTGGCCCAATATCTTTAGCCCAACCCTTGTCCCAAGACCAAACGACCCCTTATTTATAACCCGGATGGGACCCGGTCCGTGACCCGCCCGCTTCTCCTCTAATCCTGGTCGTTGATCTCAAATGATCAACGACCCCTAACCATTCCCCCGTTTTAATTAACTACCCATCACCCAAACCCTAACCCCATTTTCTAAACCCGCCGCCCCTAAACTCTCTCATCTCTCTTCTTCTCTGATTAAACCCTAGCAGTCGTAATCCTTAATCCTCTCCGATTCTGACTCAAACATGGAATCAATCCATGATCTACTTACCTATTTTGTGATACTCTATCATTGTACGCATGTTTACGGTGTTACTTAGTTCTTGCCCTATTTTTGGCAAGAACTACTTCTCAAGAACAGACCGATTTACTTTGATTCTGTGAGGATCTGGACGATCTTTCATCTATATGCATGTTATATTGAACGATTCTTGCATTATTGGTTCGATTCAAGTCGTCAGTCTCAACTAGGGTTTGAGATTTTCCTTTTTCCTTTACTGATTTTTCGATTGATTGATACTTTTCCTTTTCCGTCTTTGACTATTATTTTCCTATTTTCTACTTTATTTTGCCCTAAATCTGACTCTAAATGATTTTTGGTATGATATTTTCCTTATTCTCTGTTTAATCTTTTGTATTCCTTTATTTTTAGTATTATTTGCGTGATAGTTGTTATTCTCGGTTGATTTACTGAACCCCTTTGTTCACGCCCTAAAAATAACCGATTCTGATTGACTCTAGTATATCTTTCCTTATTTGTGTTTGAATAAATTATTTTCTATGTTTACTTGGTTGATTTCTACACTATATAAACCCCTCCCCTAAAACCCCTTGAAGGGACCTGGGAATCTCCTAATCACTGCTATTATTCTCATTATTCTCCTCCTTTCACTTACTTATTCACTCTGTTACACTCGAATATTCTGTGAAATTCTAGGCCGACTGAAAGCCAAGGCTATTAAACGACCTCCTTCAGTGCAAGCACTGCTCGGAGCCCTTCTCGAGGTTC